TGTAAAGTCCTGGCTGAAATTAGCTTTCCCTACATCCACTCTGGCTGATGGTCTCCTGGGAACTTCAGAAAACCCTGAGGCCTGGCAGCTTGCTGGGGGAGAGGGCTTCCCAGGGAGTTCTAGGAACCTCAGCTCTGCAGAGGAACAGCTGTGTCTCTCGATGGTTCTATCTTGCTGACAGCCAACAGAGGCCTGACCAGAAGCCAGCCTGAAATGTTCTTGCCTCTTGTTGCAGCCTACAAGGCTTCATGGACACTGAACCCGAGAGGCAGCCAGGAGGATGCCCTGTGAAATCTGGGTTTCCCACTAAGCCACGAGCCTACAGTTTCCTGTGAACAGCTGCTGAGCACTAGACTGTTTATGGGAACTAGGGAGAGGCGAGGCTGTGAGCGAGTGCTAGAAGGCAGACCCAACACTGTGACTGCTCTCGTGCTTCTCAGTGCGCTGGGATTCTAAGTTTGTTCCACTTATCTGGTGAGTACCATACTTGATCTTGTACAGTTTTTTTTTTTTTTTTTTAATTTAAAGAAAAAATTTAAAATGTCTGTCAGTCTTATTTTAACTAACCCCCTGAGACTGTATCAGGTCCCTTCAGTACTTCGTTCCTTATGTCTGAAATGGCCTTGACAACTCCCTTATCTCTTTGGAGAAACTATTCTTCCTTTAGGACTCATTTGACCATCCTTTCTTCTAACAAGGCATCTGTAGTGTAAGTAGCCCTTTCTCGGGGTTTCTGATTTAGTACAAACCATATTTTGTCGTCATTAACTGCTTCCTTTCTCACTAGTCTATGAACTTCTTGAGGGAAGAGATCACCTGATGACTACCATCGGGGACCACAGGTTCGGGCATAGGACAGGCGAGTAGTTCTCAGAACATGGTCCCGTTAGTGCCTGTTTGAATATCACCTTGGATGTCAGTTCTAGAATAAACACAATCTGTGTGTGGGGGGGTGGGGGGCAGAGAGTCTACCTTTTTAACAAGCTGCCCAGATGATTCCTTTCCACAATGAAGGCTGGTAATTTTTATAGTAGGCTCTTGACAAATGTTTGTTGATTTATTGATACGGACATTTGTGTCTTGGAAACAAGATTTAGGTCAATGACTCATTCTTTACGGTCAGTAGCTTTCAGAGACGCACGTACTTCCCAGATTACTTTTTTTAGGTGCAGCCTAAATATAGCCTCGACTCCATTCACTGAAAACACCAAAACGTCACCATTTAACCTTTTTAAAAAGTGTATTTCTCTATAGTCATCTGCTTCCTAACACCCATATATTAGGGGGAACGTTTCTGTTCAGATAGAGACTGGTTGTGCACAGATGCGTGAACCGGTGGTAGTGATGGAGATGGGGCACGGCGGGGGGGGCGTTGATGGGAAGCAGCGTCCTGGTTCCCTGTAATATGTATGTCCTGATCCACAGACGGGTCAGAGTCAGGGTGATCTGTAAAGAAGTTTGTCTTATCATTAAGAATTTGCAGAGGGTTTTCAGGGGTCTGGGGAAGTTCTGAAGCACAGATACTTTATAAACAGTTGAGAAGGTTTTGACTATATCTGGATGGGATTTAGAGTGATGACTAGCATTGACAGGGTGCCAATCAGGGCTGTGAAGATTGGAAATCTATTAGAATCACTTAAAAAGAAAAGGTGGAGTGATCAGACCCAGAGTAATACTGCTGGCATCTCTTCTGAGCTATTTGCCTATCAATAAAAATGCTTTTGATCCATTCTTCATAACAATAGCTAGTGGTTTCCAAAGCTTTGGTACTAAATCAAAAGTACTGTCTCATTCTATCCCATATAAGGTCAGTACATGCCAAATCCAATGTGTAGGCCAAATGTGAAGAGGACTAGGAGTTCGGGCTTAGATGCTAGGCAACATCAGGCTGACCTAATGTGTAGCTACCATGGAGTTGTGAGCTATAAAATAGTCCCCTGTATTGCCCTCCATAATCATGTAATTCTTTTAGGTCTAATTAAATGTTAACCTGTCTTTACAAGGATTGGTTATAAAATAATCCAGAAATCACAATAATAAAGTCCTTTCTAAGGTACCATCTTTTTAGCTGAGTTGGAATACAGCACTTGATCCCCATTAACTGTCAAGCAGAAAATTAAGCAGAATGGTTGAACTCTTCAAGGGACTCAGAATCCAAATCTGCAAAACTCCAAATAATACCAATGAAATCCCACTGATCTTCTGTTATGTATCTACCTTATGTCTTAAAGACTCCAGTTTTATAAAAAGGACATGAGAATGTGTAGGAAGAATACATACTTTTGCCCAGCTAGATTAGTGTCACAAATAATCACAAATAATTAGCATTACTTGTTGTTTAGGAAGTTCTAGCCTCAGTTTTATGGTCTCTATATATGGAATCTATTTGAATAGCTTATTTCACTCCTTGCTTCTCTTCCAGGAAATCAAGATTTATGCCACTGTGCATTTTTATGTAACATTTGTGTGTCCCAAGAGGGTGTTATCTGAATATATTTGCATATAGCATATACTAGAGGTACCCAGATGTGATAAAGATTTTGCTAATAAGTATTTCCAATTCAAGGGAGATTTTTGCTATGCTCCTGGCCTTCTTAGGCTGACTTGGAGCAGGCCCACTATACCCTGTATCTGTATGGGTTTAATTATTCCAAGGGAAGATTCTGGGGAGATTGCAAAGAGTATTCCTAACCTCTCCAGATTCAGAAGTCCAGGGGACTCCCAGAATCATTCTACCTACAAGTGTTCTTCAGAAAAGAGTATCCCCAGCACCAGAAACTTCTTTCTCTGTGTAGCCTGATCCAAAGCAGTTTGGAATCCACATTCTGTCCCTGTCACAACATTTAACTAAATTCCAGAAGCTGCAGGAGAAGTCTTTTTGGTCTCAGCATTCAGGTTTCTACAAAATATGGATGGCCAAACTCACTTAGCAGAGAAGCACACTTACTGGCAGGATCCATTTTGCCAGTCTTAGAAACTCTTTTCTACCTTGTCATTCCACTGGATGATTACTCTCTCTCTCTGACGACAGAAGTATAAGTACCTCAATATTTGGGGGGAGGGTGTGGGTGGGGAGCACATCTGTTTTAAAATTTCCATTAAGGTAGATTAAAATATCAAGGTAGAGAGGTAATGGAAAAATGAAGGGAAAAATACCTCCCAAGTTTATTTTAATCAAAAACTTGAGTCTCTAGCCTCCCTTCTCATATATTGATCAAAAGAAGTGTCAAATGCTAATATAGGTAAACCAGTTCAAAAGCCCAAAAGTGAGGGGAAAAATCTTGGAAAACTTAAGAGTTGGTTGTGCCTGCTTCTTATTGAAGATTCCGACTAAATTTTTTCTAATACACTTTTGAATTTTCTAATACTAAAGACCTCAGCAGAGCTAACTTGTTATAAATTATCTACTCCTATTAACCTGTGTTGTGTAAAGCAGATCATTTCTTAAATTTTGAGGTAGCTGACTGAAAAAAATGTGTGTGTGTAGTAACTACTTAGGAGACATTGTAAGTGAACAGTGTTCTCCAAGTAGAACATACAAGGAGAAGCAATCTTTATGAGAGGCATGAAATTTAAAAAATGGGGACTCATTCCCATTTTTTTAAGCTTCAAGTGGTCTGTATTATTCATACTTAGAGAAGGAACATTTACTGCTGATCATCATGTGCTTTTTGTTCATGCCCCAAAATCATGGGGGAGATCACAACTTTGTCACACTTAGCAAAAGAGAAATAGTTGTCAGTGTTTGACACATTTTCCAATAGAAGAAAAATCCAGTTGCCAACTACATACAGGTTCATTTTGGGTTCCTGGAACTGATAACACATCAGCATGTCTTATGAAACCTGTGCATGGCACGTTATTACAGCTGTATATCATCAGAGAGAAAAAAAATAATTGGTTTTCCTTGGAGTATCTCTAAGTTGATGTCATATTCAATAACCCTGTAGTTGAAAAATCTATATATGATGGATGAAGTTTGGACTATCTTGAATTTAATTCCTCCTCTGCCAGCTTCTACAGGCCCTGGTGTACCTGTCATTTTGAGGTGAGTGCATGCATTATTTAGAAAATGTAACCAGGTATTACTTCTGCCAGAATACCAACTATAGAAGAACAGTTTGTCTCACATGTACAACAGCCTCATTCTTCACTCTTAACTGTGCCAAGGAGGAACCATTTTAAACTTGGAACCCCACACCAGGGTCAGTGCCAAGGCGTAGCTTGAATGAATGCTGTGCATCACAGAGTGAGGACTTTGGAGACAGCCCTTAAACATACCAGCTTTTAAAGTGGAGTCCCAGGCACATCACCAACATAACCTCAAGAACTCTTCCTTGTGAGAATAAGTACTACTTCTGGATCTGCTGATGAGGACTCTCAAAAAGAGACCAGTTAGAGCTTTGACTCTGGTCCAGACCACTCCCCCCACCCAAAAAAAACCAAAATGCCAACCTAGTTGTATTTTGTGGGGCAAATAAATTTTTCCTTCCTTTCCCCTTCCTTAGTCGCCAGCTTGTTTTATTTATGTTGGTTAAATGGATCCAAATTTGGGCAGGGAAGCCTGGATTAGTCTAGCAGTGGTAGTCCAGATGTCCCTATATCATCAGCATTACAGGGATGACCTCAGGATGCATCCTCTCTTGAATCTGGGGATCTGGCTTGATTTGGAACTTTCAGGCAGGACGCAACCTGGCCTTCAGTTGGAAGCTATGTGTCCAAATTTTGGAATTCAGATTTGCAACATGTGAGATGCAAATTAATCTGTCGTCTTATAATCAGTTTTATGTTGTACAGCCAACTAATACACATGGTTACAGAAGAGCAAAACCCCTTAGTTTGTATGTCCCTAATTTGAAATGTAAGTAAGTATAATATAATCTTGACGAAGTTAATCTCACTTCTGACCAGAAAGCAAAGCTGTTTCAATTGTTAACAGGTTGGAGGTGAATTACTTTAATATTATTTAAGACAAAGGATGAGGAAAACAATTTCCTTACCGATTAGCAGAGCTTCTTTCTCTGATTTTAAGCCTTGGCTTCTTTTTTCAATATTGTTCTCTCGGTCTTGGTTGACCAATGCGACTGTCAACACATTGATTTCCTGAGGTTAAAAAACAAAAACCATATAGGCATGCATGTAGATTTTGTGCATTTCAATAAAAGCCACCAGGTCTTTTCATCTCTATTAAAAAAAGGTCATCACTTCCATTTGTAACTGAACATCAGCTTTTATAAGTAATTGATCTATGTGCCCAACAATAGAAAAGTAATAACTAAAACTTAGGTTCCTAGCTACTACTCCCAGCAAACCATGTAACTATGCAAAAGTGGCAAATTTGGCATAAATTATCTTAGGTTTTTATCCATGTTTTGATTAAACTCTGTTAGCAAAAACAATTTGATTGTAGCTACTTTAACATGTTTTTATTTCAAATATAAAAAACTTCCCCCCAAAGCATGTACAAACTGATTTATATAACTATGCTAGTAACTTGTATGAGTATGTGGGGAAATAGGATTGTTATTAAAAGTGTTTACAGTGAATGAGTATATGTCCTTATACACAACTGCGGAAGGTAGATAAAGCAAAGGGTGAGAAATTCTTTTCTTTGGAAACTAAAAATGAAGAATTGTACAACAAACGTTGAACTATTCTTAGTTCCTTCTGTGGTCTATTTTATTTAGAAACAGAGAAAAACATTTAACTCATTCTCCCAGACTTGTATTAGGACTCAGAATGGAGAATGATTTAATAGAAAATCAAATGTAATGATCAGAGACGTATATATATGGGTTAGAATCATTAGGGTAGTTGGGTTTTGGAGAAAAATTTCTCCCTGAAAGATAGGTCTCAAAGAAGGATGAGCATATTGAGCAAAGAGTTAAGGATACTCCATTAGATGATGCTACAAGTCTAGAGGTTAGTAGGGAGGGACAAAGGAGAACTGAGAAGGTCTGGGCAAAAGATTTGGCAGGTGTTACCAGGACTGGAACTGGTTATAGATATTGATCTAGTTAATACAAATAAGTAAAATTGGCCAGATAAAAGAATATAGGAAATTGTTGGGAACATGTTGAGCATGTAAAGAGCACAAAGCCCGTCTGAAGTCATTCAAATAAAAGAAAAAAAAAAAAATCAGTGTACGTCAATCACAAAAGTTCTACAAGCTGAATTTAAACTACGAGCTGCTACTTTGTAAATCAGGGGTAATTAGAAATTGCCAGGAAAGAAGGCTCTGCTAAGAAATTGCAATTGGTAATATTTGGTGAGTGTTTTGGAGGTTCCTCTAAAGGTCAGTCTTACCTGCTGAATACAGAGTAAGAGGTGTAGATGGGTATAAGGTAAGGAATTAAGGGAATCACAGTGATGTGATAATAGATCAGAGGAAGATGCTGGTTGGCTAAGAGGGTACCAGTGAGGTCTGAGGCTCATAGCAGTAGTGTGCCCATGAGGACAGGGGTCAGAAAGGGCTTAAGGAATGGTCCATAGAAAGGCTAGAGCCGGCTGGATATAAAAGACTGTTAGAAATGAAAGATGCTCTTATACTTCCAAAAAGGAATGTTGGGAACCAGCCCCAGGAGAAACACAATCCAGAATTTTAAAACCAAATAAACCCAATGATTTATGTAGATGAACTCAGAAGTTACAGGAAAGGTATAGGAATTCCCTCTGTGATGAAATACCAAATGGATGTATTTTAAGGGCTAGCAGAGGTCTAGGAAGAAAGGGATGGAAAGATAGATAGTACCTAGGATGATGATGGTATCATTTAAGAAATAATGAACCCAAGAAAAGGTGATCTGGGGTGGAGAGGAGCAAGATGGCAGAGGAGTAGGAGACCTAAATTTCATCTGGTTCCAGGAATTCGGCTAGATAGGTAACAAACCATTCTGAACACCTATGAACTCAACAGGAGATCGAAGAAAAGAATAGCAGCAACTCTCTGAGCAGAAAAGGGACCACTTTCTGGAAGGTAGGACATGCGGAGAAGTGAATCCGAGGCGATATTCGGGAGGATAGATGGTGGGGGAGGGGGCCTCCATCAGCCGCTACTGGCAAGTGAGAAAGAGCAGAGCACAACATCGGAACTTTTAGAAGTCTGCTCCGCTGAGGGACGTCGCTCCAGTGGCTAAGCAGGGCGTGGAACCCTTGCGGGACAGTGTGGTCTCAGGACCCTCGGGGTCACAGAAAGACCGGGGGTGCCTGAGTGCGGCAGAGACGGAGCCGAGGAACGGGCTCTCAGCTCAGGATTGCCATAATCTGTGATCCACGGCACAGTTGGGCCACTGCTCTTCCAGCAGGGACCCAACAAGTGACAGATCTGGGGAGACTCCACACCGAGTCGGATGCCAGAGATAGAAACGCTTGCTCACAGTCTGGGTGAGCACAGAGTGCAGCCAGAGACCAGGGAGACAGGAGTGATTGACTGCTTTTCTCTGGGGGCACACTGAGTGGGGCCCCGAGTTCTTGGCTCCTCCGGGGTGGAGATTGGGAGGCCGCCATTTTCACTCTCAGCCTCCAAAGCTGTACGGAAAGCTTGTAGGGAACAAAAGCTCCCGAGACCAAACCTGAGCAGATTACTTAGCCCGACCCGGCAAGGGTGGGGCAATTACGCCTCCAGCAAAGACATCTGGGAACCATGGCAACAGGCCCCTCCCCCAGAAGATCAGCGAGAACAGCCAGCCAAGACCAAGTTTACCGATCAATGAGAACGGCAGAACTCTAGCAGTAGGGAAATACAGGACATAGAATTCATGGCTTTTTTCCCCCATGATTCTTTAGTTTTTCAAAGTTAATTTTTTAAATTTTCTATTTTTATTGAATTTTTTTTTCTAAAATCTTTAATTTTCATTTTTAGAGTGATATTTTATCGCTTCATTGTAGTTAACATTTTATAATAAGATTATTATATATATTATACACACACTTTAAAATTTGGGGATACGGTTTCTTCTAAAAGACCAAAATATACCCTAAATCTCTAGTGTATGGCTTTGTTCTAGTTTCCTGCTTGATCATTTTTTTTTCCAACCAACTTCTTATCAATTCCTTTTTAAAAATCTTTTTTACTTTTCATCTTTAGTCATATTCCATATCTTCATTGTATTTACCCTTATTTTTGTATATATATGTCTTTAAAAATTTGGGAGGCAGTTTCTTCGAACAGACCAAAATACACCCAAAATCTAGTGTGTGGCTCTGTTCTATTCACCAGCCTGATGATATTCTTTTTTACTTTTTTCCCCTTCTTTCCCCCCCATTCATCCATTTTTCTCTGGACAAAATGACAAGATGGAAAAAACTCACCTCAAGAAAAAGAACAACAGGCAGTACAGACTGCCAGGGACCTAGTCAATATGGACATTAGTAAGATGTTAGAACTAGAGTTCAGAATGACGATTATAAAGATAGTAGCTGGGCTTGAAAAAAGCATAGAAGATACTAGAGAATCCCTTTCTGGAGAAACAAAAGAACTAAAATCTAACCAAGTCAAAATCAAAAAGGCTATTAATGAGGTGCAATCAAAAGTGGAGGCTCTAACTGCTAGGATAAATGAGGTAGAAGAGAGAATTAGTGATACAGAAGACCAAATGATGGACAATAAAGCTGCTGAGAAAGAAACAACTACCGGGGGCGCCTGGGTGGCTCAGTCGGTTGAGCGGCTGCCTTTGGCTCGGGTCGTGATCATGGAGTCCTGGGATCGAGCCCCGCGTCGGGCTCCCTGCTCAGTGGGGAGTCTGCTTCTCCCTCTCCCTCTGCCTGCCTCTCTGCCTACTTGTGCTCTCTGTCAAATAAATAAATAAAATCTTAAAAAAAAAACCAAAAAACAACTACTGGATCACGAGGGCAGAATTCGAGAGAACTGATACCATAAAGCGAAATATTAGAATAATTGGGATCCCAGAAGAAGAAGAAAGAGAGAAGGAGGGGCAGATGGTATATTGGAGCAAATTATAGCAGAGAACTTCTTAATTTGGGGAAGGAAACAGGCATCAAAATCCAGGAGGCACAGAGAACCCCCCTCAAAATCAATAAAAATAGGTCAACACCCTGACATCTAATAGTAAAACTTACAAGTCTCAGAGACAAAGAGAAAATCCTGAAAGAAGCTCGGTGAAAAGAGGTCTGTAACCTATAATGGTAGAAACATTAGATTGGCAGCAGACCTATTCACAGAGACCTAGCAGGATAGCAAGGACTGGCATGATATATTTAGAACACTAAATGAGAAAAATATGCAGCCAACAATACTATATCCAGCTAGGATATCACTGAAAATAGAAGGAGAGATAAAAAGCTTCCAGGACAAACAAAAACGAAAAGAATTTGCAAACACCAAACCAGCCCTACAAGAAATATTGAAAGGGTTTCTCTAAGCAAAGAGAGAGCCTAAAAGTAACATAGACCAGAAAGGAACAGAGACAATATACAGTAACAGTCACTTTATAGGCAATACAATGGCACTATATTCATATCTTTCAATAGTTACCCTGAATGTAAATGGGCTAAATGCCCCAATCAAAAGACACAGGGTATCAGACTGGATAAAAAAAACAAGACCCATCGATATGCTGTCTGCAAGAGACTCATAGAGCCAAAGACACCTCCAGATTTAAAGTGAGGAGGTGAAAAATCATTTACCATGCTAATGGACATCAAAAGAAAGCTGGGGTGGCAATCCTTATATCAGACAAATCAGATTTTAAGCCAAAGGCTATATAATAAGAGATGACAAAGGACACTATATCCTACTTAAAGGGTCTATCCAACAAGATCTAACAATTTTAAATATCCATGCCCTTAACATGGGAGCAGCCAATTATATAAACCAATTAATAACATCAAAGAAACAAATTGACAATAATACAGTGATATTAGGGGACTTTAACACCCCCCTCACTGAAATGGACAGATCATGTAAGCAAAACATCAAGGAAATAAAGGCTTTAAATGACACACTGGACCAGATGGACTTCACAGATATATTCAGAACATTCCATCCCAAAAAACAGAACACACATTTTTCTCTAGTGCATTCTCCAGAATAGATCACATCCTAGGTCACAAATCAGGTCTCAACCAGTACCAAAAGATTGGGA